GCTTCGACACCGCGTCATTCGGCGTCGCTGCGAGCATGAGGGTGGACGTGGAGAAGGCGATGAGATGGTGATTTGATCAATTGTCGTTCGTGATAATGATAGACGAAAGAGAAGCAATTTTTTTATATATATGACACTTATCTTATTGTATCGTATTACCAATTGCTGACCACAGATAAAAAAAAGCTACGCAAAATATATGTAAATATTTTCTATAATAATACAATTTTATCGATTTGAATGATGCAATTATAATATCCGCATCGTTTTTGTTCGTTTCAGTAACTTACTTCTATCTCTTTTATTGATTTTCTAAAATTTGCTTCAAAATTGCTCTAGATTTACTCCTCGTTTGATCTAGATACTTTAAAATAATTTAAACAAATGTTTTTATTACATATAAACAAGTAAGAATGTTATATGACAAACGTGTCACTTTTCGATTAGCATCGTAAGAAGTAATAAATAATTTTATCAATAAATATAACATTTAGACTATGTAATTCTTGAAATATTTTACATTACTATTTTACTTTGATCACATCAATCTGATTGTGTGGTTAACATTACGGGACCATAACAAGACATGTAGATGTGATTCCAATTTAAAATTTTTGGTCACTAAATATAATAAACTACAGATGTCAACTTATTTCTTTCTGCAAAAAACAAATATTTTAGGATTATTGTGACATATTACAGCTACTGTGTATATACACGAGCGTAGTAGCAAGATAGTTAAATGCAGATGCGACATTTCTTGAAGAGCCGGGACGATAAACTCATGACTATCATCGCGAATGCAAACGGGTCACGAGAAATGAGCCAGAGTAAATGAAACCGCTTCGTATAGGGAGCGACGTCGCCGTTTTCGGGATGGGAACCGCATGCCCGCCGCTTAGCTCTGCTACCGCGTCATTTATCGTCGTTACTGCCCGAAGGAAAAACGCTGACGCCACCAAACACAGCAACATGTCGCGGTGACTCCGAACGGCAAAGGAGTCCCGCGCATCCGTTTTCTCGACAATTCTCAACTGGGTTTCGCGAACGCCAAGTTCACGTGTCACCTCGTTGTGCGGATAACTTCTGTCGCGGAGAAACGTCCGGTCGCTTTACATTTTGAGCTGTGGCTTTGTAAACGGGTGCGCGACAGTAATCGGACAGAAAACCGTAACGAGATGGAGATTCATTTCCGGCAACGTTTGCATCCGCGCGAGCCTTAAATTGCTGGAAATAGCTGTGTAATAACCGGGAGACTGCGAAGAAACGTAATTATGTTATAGACGATTTTTGGTAGCGCACACAAGGACGCGTACGCTCGCGTATTCCATTATGACTCGCGAATGGCCGCCACTTGCCCATTTGTCACGACTGTCGCAAGTTCGCCCAGTTTAATGCATCCGCGCCTCCAGGCCGCTTCAGCTTCCACCCAGCGTCTCCTTTGCCGCAATTTTGGAGTGGCAACGCCGTTAACAGGCGGCGTTTCCTTGGGCGCACAAAGCAACAGCAGTCGTGTTCTGAGGTTCGCGGTCGGGCTTGACTGATGCCAGGTTTGGCTGCAAAAGACGCCGCCGATGCCGTTCAAGCAAAAGCGCCACGCAATCGATTCGTCTCCGACATAAATGTATAAAACGATGTAAATAAGTTAACTCGTAAAGTTTCAATCCATTTCCTAAAAAATTCTAGTATATATTTAATACATACGGCGATTATTTGATGTGACTTCTTATTTACGTTTTCACGGAATGCGTTAAATTAAAGATAAGTATTGATTGCATATATTTGTCTGTATTTAAATGTAGAAAAAATATGTAATAGTTCTATTGTGTCTGTCCATTTATGTGACACAGATGTTTTGTTGTAAAAAATCTATATTTATCGTTATTACATTTAGCAAAAATTAATTCGCAACACAATTATTCTGAGGTGAGATGTCAATGAAGATATGTATAAAACAATTATGCGCAATTCTCGTGTAAATAGCAGATACACGTAAATACACCAATGCCATGAATTGCTACATTAGCACGTTTGGATTATTGACGGTGACAGTTTCATCGATAACTTATTATCGGTGGCTAGTGAAGTTAGAACGATAAATAACCGCTGTTCCATATCGATAATCTATTATCCAATCCATATGTTGAGTTTTCGTAGTATGCGAGAAAGTCGTTTTCTTCAAGAAAGAGAAAATATATGAACGTTTTCAAGAGGAGCGATTCTTAAATTCACGCGTGACTGGACCAAGTTGGTATACGTAGGTTATATCACATAAACGAACGAAGAATATGAATTATGATGATTAATTCGCATACGTTTGCGTCTTTCTTCCAGGATGGATTGATAAACATCAAACCGTAGAATTGAGATGACGTCACCTATTTGTTTTCCCCAAGATTAGCATTTTTAGTAACTACATTATAAATTCTTATTCTGACAATAAAACACTTATGAATCATTGCGCAAGATCTCTTAAAAATTTTTTTACTCCCAGAACAAATTTAATTTTGCAATTCAAATTATAAAAAAACTGATAAAATTAATAGCAATAAATTTTTGAATTGTTTTCAAGGATACTATACTACAAAATGTACACAACGATGGTATTGCGCGCACTTGTGTAAAGTTTGAAAAATGAGTCAAGTGCGTATTGCGAATCCATATGATATAACCTTTGCTGTGCACAGTTGTGGTAAATGACAGCTTGATATTGATATTGGCAGCTGCGCAAAGTATTGAAATCGTTGCTTTTGTCATTTACCGATGTAACATCTTAGGCTTTAAAATCGATCTATAAAATCGAACTTGCATAATAATACTGTTTTATGTGATTTTACCATTATTACTATAAGTTTCTTATTTATACTCACTCGTTGGGAATTATATAAATTGAATTAATGGCGCTAAGCACATGATTATTATATAAATATCTATCTACAGAATTAATCATTTTATTAACACGTAATGAACATATTCCACTTTTTGCTTTTCATAGGTAAGAAATAATTTAAGATGCAGGTATATCTTTTTTCAACAACTTTGTTCGAAGCTAATAGTAACATAAAAAAACATTAAAATAATTTTTAAGTATAAAATTTAAATAGACTTTTGATAGAGAGATATGCATTCATAAAAATTAAAAATAGAAAAAATCAATCAACAAACGTACATCACGATATACACAAAAAACGTTTAGACAAAATCGTTTAGCAAGATCGTTAGAATTTTTGTCGACTATTTATTTTATTGTAATTTTTACTTATTCCTTGATTTATTAAAAAAACAATATGTAACTTAAAAATTTTAGCTTTATATAAATTTATTTATTTATTTTTCAAATATACTCGCTCTAAAAGTTAACACAATAACGTTTTACAAACGCGTCATACTGTAAAAGTTTAGTGAAATACCACTCGTGATGGTTACGTTACGTTATTTATGGCTTATGAAAGGGTGAGAATACCTGGCAGAGGCCAGGTACTGAAACTCGAAAAACTGACTGTTGCATACGAGACTAAATAATAATAACGCTAGTTGCGGGATTATTTATGACTCGCCAAACTCTCGCGGGTAAACGCCACGCAAACCAGTGAAAACTGAAGTTTCGAATGCGTAACCGGATGAAGCGATATTTTCTCGAGTATCGATTTTGTGACCGCGAATACATATTTTCACTGTAATTTACTCGATCGCACGTCATCCCTCGTGCAAACCTTTCTAACCCCTAAGAACGTGCCGCTGACGGCGAAGTTGCCGCCTTGAGAATGGAACTTTTTAGAACTTCGCAGCGAGAAGCGGAGATTAGCCCTCGGGAGTTTTAGTTTCCGCTCTACAATGAGTAGAATTCAGAAAGATCTCATTGTGGTAAAAAAAAAATCGATCGCTTGTTTAGAACTTGCCTGTTCAACGAACCGCAAAAGCTAAGTAGAAAAATTGCAGAAAAATTAATCAAAATTAGAAAAATGATAAATTAGAAAAGTGATTAATTAAATTTCAAGCCTGAAAAATTCTTGAATCTTAATAATTACAAATTTTTTTATTTATACTATAATTAATTCGATATAATTACTTGTATAAAACACAATTTAAAGTGTACTGTTACGGTCTCTGGTTAATTCTCACATTTGTCCCCTTTTTATTGATCTCTTTCAACCTTTAGAAGGCTCAAAGGTATTTGCGATATAAGCATGTGGTTCTACAGTGGTATTAATCTTTAATTGCATTGTCGTGTAGGTGTACTACTATTCGAATAATAATGTCCGCTAGAACACCACAGACAAGGAACATCACAATGACCTCGTGTTTCGCATTCTAATTGGATTCTCTAGAAAGCTTACGAATTCTCGTTTAGCGTCCGCTTCATTACTTCGCTGTTATTAATGTTTACTTTACTTCCGTTTGCTATCGTTTTGTCACGACGGTCGTAAGAAAGTACCCTTTGTGCTTAGCTTCAAATCGTTTTTAGCGAAGCGCCGTCAGTTCGAACGCTCGCCAGCAATTACGTTAATAATGCAATCTCATTTACGTCAGTCGAGAATTACATCTAAAATAGCTAGCGCAGAACATGAGTTAAATGCGAGAATAAGCAGATTAACCAGCCGCTCGCCTTCGTACGTCTTACGTCCAATCAGACAGTTGACTTGTCTGCTGGTGTAGATAGAGTCGTGATTATTGCAATTTTAATGAATGAATTCTATAACCGTATGTCATAGTTAATGTGTAGACTGACAAGTGAACCAATAAATTTATTAAGATACGGAATGTCTATAATGAGATTTATTTAAATTATTTTATTCAATAATAATATAAAATATATGTATACAACTGA